GGGGGTTGGGGAGGGGGTTGTTACTGCAAATTTTCTCCTGCTGGTGATGTTGGGTTTTTTTCTCACGTCGTCAATCGTAGCTCACTTGGCGAGATGTTGGGGTGGCTCGTTGGGGTCAGAAGAGTGTATAACTGGGTGTTTTGTCAAGCACTGGATGGGCTGGAAGCAACCAGGTCAGTTGTGAGGACCCAGAGGGTCTGGGGACTCATTTGTGGACTGGTCTGTTTCTGTCCTGTTAAAATAGCAGGTTTCCTCCCTGGAAACTGAATTCTCATTCTGCTGTTTGCTGATGTTCTCCATAGAGTGGGAGGACAGTGTCCACCCTCATCATCAGGTTGTCCTGATCATGTGTCTGAAATGGGAACAAAAATTTAGTCCTTTTTAGGGGGAAACACTAGTTGTTGCCAACATCTCTCACTGTGTCTGTTAATGAGAAAGGGTCAGGAAAGGGCTGGAGTCCCAAAGCAAGCATGAGAAAATCCAGTTGAGAGAGTCAATCTCAGGTTTCTTAAGTGAAAAAAGTATTGTAATACATAGAGCCTTACCCACTCTAACATAGCTGTGACACTGTGTGCCTCCCCTGCTCTCTTTTCACCTACACCCCAAAAAACTGCCTGCAGTGGCAGAGTGACCCTGGAACTGGAGAGCAGGTTGGTCCTCCACATCAAGGAATGCTACATGGTTGTTTTGTTTTCCAGCAGGTTCTAAAGAGAGCCTTTCCTGTCATTGGTTTGGTTCAGCAGGGAGTTTCCCTGGTAATGGCACTTGCACTGGTGCATCAGTACCATCTTGCCTATGGATGTCCTGAGGAGGAAGGAGAGAAAGGAGTTCCGTAGAACGTTTCCATGAAAGCTGAAGTCTATGGGGCTGCTCAGTTCCACTCTACATTTCCTTGTAACTAGAGCATGAAGTAGTCAGGTGTTTTGCAAGATGCTGGAAAATAGCAGGTTTGCTGGCAGGGGGGTGAGGGATGGGCTCCCTGAGTGGCACTGAGGAAGGAGGCTCTCTCAGGTTGGAAAAGCTGGCAGAAAGACAAGCACAAATATACTGTTTTTCAGTAAGTGCTTGGCTGGCCTGGAAGACGAAGGGATCCTGCTGTTGAACAAGGCTATTGTCTTCTGACAAACCACCAAATAACCTTCCTGGTTGCTAGCTCTGGTTCCTGGGCTACTCTTGCACAGTTTTCTTTTCCTGCCTGTCCTTCATTCCAGCTCAATATACTGTAGATGAGGATACAATCTCCCAGCAGCCTATGCACCTTACCCCCACTCGTGTTTTGGAAAGACATGTCCCCTTTTGTCTAAGGCAGGAAAATAAAGCCCTGCTCTCTCTCTTGCATTCCTCTCCTCTCTCACCAGTTCAGGAGCGAGAGCGTCATGCTGCTTATGTCATGAAAAGGAAAGATAATGTTATTTTATTGTATGGTGGTTATGATTATTATTTTATTATTATTATATTTTACTCTGAATTTTAATTGCACACACATTCCTTAACATTTTTGGTTTTTTTTTTTTNGTTTTTTTTTTTTCTCTTATTGTTGTTATTGTTGTTAATTTTATTTCTCTTCATCAGTGGCATTGGAAGGGTTACTGTGATTATGAGAACTGCAGGAGGAAGGAGAAATGAGATTATTCTGATGATGAAAACTCTGCCACTAATCTGGGGAAGTGGGACCGCTCAGTGAGAGTGGTTATGGCCTTGAAGAACAGGAGTTTTCCTCTGGGTCACATCTGCATTTCAGGATAAGTCCAGAAACGTTCATTCAGAGGCCAACACCTGACAGCAGCTAACATAATGATCTGTCAGGAGAGTTGGATCAAAAGCAGGTAAGGACCTTGGTGCTCCAGGGTCCAGCTCACCATCCCTTAGTTTGAAAGGACGGTTATATAAGATTAAGACTCATTTATGCTCAAAGCCAGGATCATTGAGCCCTTGCAAAGAACACAAGGCCACACTATGTATTAAGGGTTTGGTTTTCCTAAAGGAGGACACGGATGGATGGATGGCTCTCCAGAAACAGGGCTATGGAAGGAGCTGCAGCAGAGCCGCAAGGGTGGCTCACAGTCCCATCACTGGATAAAGAACACTGGCACACACAGACGGCATTAGCTGGGTAAAGCATGGCTGCAGACAGGGCAGTGTCCCTCACCTGCTCTTCCGCTCTCACTGAAGACTAATTAGGTGTCCAGAGGCCAGGATGCTTGGTTTGAGTTTTTTCTTTGTTTGTTCCTGATGTAGATTTTCCACTTCTTTTACAATTATTTGTTATGGAATTTTGTTATGCTGTTCCGGTTGCTACGGTTTAGGTATTTATGGTTTGATTTGCATCACCTGCTCTTTTAGAATAAGGGGAAGCAGTGACTGAATTTAAATTCCATCAAAAAATTATAGGACTTCAGCAAAGACTAGAGGTTCACCATGCACTTAAGTGCTTTGCTGAAGAACTTCGAGTTAAATACTTGTTTGTGTGCTCCTCTGGCCTAAGGTTAGTGAAGCATGGAAGGTTGCAGTCTCAGTTACAGTAGTGTTTTACTTGTATTAATTGCATTTTCCTGGCCTGCTCTCCCACATGGGCTCAGATCTGATTTTGGGGGGTATTTGGCAGTGGAACTTTTACAACAGCACAGATTGGCAGAGAGAAGGATTATAGTCCATGTCAGAGGAGCCATCTTTCACATTGTCCATCCTGGAGTTGCTGCTCTGCCAGACAGTCATGGTGATGGGATGCTGATTACAAGAGATGCACAGCACAGCCATCAGATTGCTTTGATGGTGCAGCACTGCATGAGAGCTGTGTTTTCTGGTAGATACAAGGGAGCTGAGCAACACCTCCTCCCTCATGCTTGTATAAAGGAATTGTACAGATGAAGGTGTGGTTGGTCATAGGGGAAACACAGTCATTTCAGCAGAGGAAATAAAAGCTTTGCATGCTGTCAGTACCACACACATAATAATAGCCAGCTGGTTTCGCTTGCAGAGTCCTTGGAGAGGAAATGGGATTGGCATGGTTTGGTTCAGTTGGTGTTCCTTGTGTGCATGGAGTACATGGTGTGGAAGCTTGTGGGGGTGGGAGAATGTTTAGATACTGGAAGTTTTATGGGTGGCTTATGGCTGGCAGAGTGAAAAAATGGTTCTTTTGTCCATCATGTCCTCTTGCATTCTGCCTGTGCAGGAAGCAGAATGGAGCAGAGACATTGTCTCTCCTCAGGAGGATGTTCTGTTGCCTGCTGTGAGGTCAGAATGCAGGAGGGAGGGCAGAGAACCACTAACATGAGCAGACTGGAAAACCCAAATGGAAGTACATCTCACTGTAGAGTGGTTAAATCCAGTCATTTGAGAGAGCAAATGCAAGTGCATCTTCCTTGGCAGGTTTTACCTGCTTGTACCAAACAAACTGGGCTTTGGCAGGTCTCTGATTCTCTCTCTTTCTCTAGTAGTTTTGGTGTAATACACAAAACATTCCAAGAAAGGGACATTTTGACTGTGACATTTTTCCTTTTTTATATATTCAAGGGATTATGTATTGTAATTTGGTTTGAAGGCAATTCCATTAGCAATTTGAAGGGCAATAAACCTGTTTTTTTCTTTAACCAAAGATACTTTATTTTTTTAAAAAAAAGAGAAAAAGAGACGCCCATCTACTCCAGAAATTAAATGAAGCCACGAGTCATGAGCACCAGACAATGAGGATACACCGTGGAACTCAATCTTTCCATTCATTTCTTTTTTTCTTTCTCTCTCTCTCTTTCTCAAGTTTCTGACATCTTTTCGAGTAGCTAGCTTGATGAGCAGAGAAATTCACACTAAATATTGCTGCTATCCTAAACTGTAGGGGATGTCAAAAACTTTCTTCTCTTGTTTTTGTTCACATTAATTTAAGTGTTTTAGTGGTGACATTGCAGTGTGCAAATGGTGATTTGTGTAGTGGGGATAAGCTTCTGGATGCTCTGCATGCTTCTGTAGTGTCTCTAGATTTAGGACACTGATTTTGTTCTGTGGGTTCATGAAGTCATAGAATATGCTGAGTTGGAAGGGACCTATCAAGATCAAGTCCAACTCCTGACCCTGCACAGTACACCCCAAGAATGACACCATGTGCCCGAGGGCATTGTCCAAATGCTTCTTGAACTCTGTCAGGAGTGGTGCTGTGACCACTTCCCTGGAAAGCCTCTTCCAGTGCCCAACCACCCTAAGGGTGAAAAACTTTCTCCCGATATCCCAAACAGTGACGACGTGGTCAGGCCAGGCACAGCTGGGTAAGGGTGTTGGACTTAGACTTGTGTTCTTCCATGGCTTTGCAGTCATTAGAGATCTGCAGTGCTACTTATGGGCCAAATCCTGGATGCCTGTATGCAAAGTCTGCCTTGAGCAGGCAATACAGATGGGAAAGTGTGGGAAGGGAATGTTTTCCCTCTTC